AATAATAATAATAATAATAATAATAATAATAATAATAATAATAATAATGTGAGCTCTGCTGCTGAGATCCCATTAACTGCAGGACATTTTCCTGGCATGTACCAGCCATGGGGGCACTTGTGGTGGTTTGCCCTAGGCACTGGGGATGTGGTTTCGTCTCCCCACACAGCCGTGTGAGCAGTCACGCAGTCCTCTGTCCAGTTGGCTCACCAGAGCGGTGCTGGTAGAAACAAAAGGGGCTTTAGGAGAGAGCGAGAAGATTGGTTTGAGGTCTGGGCAATATCCTGGGGGAGGGGGGTTGGAGAGAGATGCAGCCTGGGAAGCACTGGTCTGCTCTGGGAGGCTGGGTGCCTCCAGTCAGCAGGAGACAAGCGCTGTGAGATCTGGGTGAGTGGTGTGATCCAGACCTGCCCAGACTTGAGGTGGCTGCTTTTCGGGCTGTGCTCCCTGAGTCCCCTGTTCCTGTTTTTCCTCTCTTTGCAGGCACACGTTCTGGCAGTATCGCCGTGAGAACCCTCAAACCAAAGTGGGGGACCCACCTCCTGATGGGCTGCCTGGCTTCAACAGTGGTGTCCTGCTCCTGAACCTGGAAGCCATGAGGCAGTCCAAGCTCTACAACCAGCTGCTGGAGCCCACCATGGTGCAGAAGCTGACGGAGAAGTACCACTTCAAGGGCCACCTTGGGGACCAGGATTTCTTCACCATGGTGGGGATGGAGCACCCAGAGCTCTTCCATGTGCTTGACTGCACGTGGAACCGGCAGCTTTGCACGTGGTGGAGGGACCATGGATACAGTGATGTGTTCGACCAGTACTTCCAGTGCGATGGTGAGGTCAAAATTTACCATGGGAACTGCAACACCCCAATCCCTGAAGACTAGGGCACCTGCCACCCCCAGGAGCAGCTCTGGTTGCAGCAAGCCCTGCAAAGCCATGGTGGCTGCACCAGCAGTCCCTTGGGAAGGGTGGCCTGCTCTGATCCCTAGGGATCCCAAGAGCATTCAGTATCCCACTGCCTGTAGCCTCCTCGCCCCTCCAGGAGGAAGCGCAGTCTGGTCGTTGGAGCCGGACATCCACAGTCACCATGCCCAGGCTCAGCTCCTGGCTCTGCTTGGATGAAGTCTGTGGGGCCTGTCTGTGCCACAGCCCCTGGGGCATGGGGACAGCCGAGGCGCTGTCAGCTGACCTCTGCTTTTGCACGTGGCAGGGTGCTGCTCCCTGGGTGCTGGGCAGCCTTGCCTTGTCTGACGATCAGCAGGAGTCCGCAGTTTGGTTTCGGTTTGGCATTCCTTGGTGGCCCATTTCTGCACCTCACGCAGAGCATCCGTCTGGTCCCTCTGGAGAGCAGACACCGTCCTCAGGTCATCTTCCTATTGAAGCATTCCAGAAGGGCGAGAGGGTTTTAAAGACTGAAAAGCTGCTTTAAATTGGGTTACTTACAAACAAAAACTGAATGCTAGATGAGCTTTAAAGCCATCCGTCGGTTCTTAGCAATAAAAGCTTTACTGCCTTGTCTTGTCTTAAAAGTGTTCAGTGAGTGTGTACCAATAGGTTCATTTTTCTAGCTTTGCCTTTAACCTTTTGTACGAGAATAAAGCTGCAGATGTAAAACACACTCGGCTGTTTTTCTGCGGCACAGCTGAAGTCCTGTGCGATAGGAGCTTTCATGCTCTTCTTATCATGATTAAAAAGTAGTTGATGTCTATCTGTTGGGCAGTTGAATGCGGTGCCCCACATACCTTATCGCTGTGATTATCCCACGTCTGTCCCAAGCAAGTGGTGCAAATAAACGGGCTGGGACATGAACTGGAGTTCAGAAAAAGATCATCACCGCCATAGCCAGGGTCGGTTTGGAGGGAGCTGGGAACTGCTGTGCTATGAATGAGTGGGCTTCAGGCATGAGCACCCCTCTCTCTAAATCCTTGCCCGGCTGGCAGGTGCAAGCTCCTGCGCAGCTCTCTGCCAGAGGAGGTGCATGGGCGCATTAACCCACTTTCAGCCCTGCTTTTTTTTTTTACACTGAGCCAGCATGTCCTTCTGCATTGATGTGGTGTGCATGTGCAAGAGAAAGAGATGGGAAACGTCAGAGGAGAACAGCAGGCTGCGATGCTGGCTGCAGCCCTCACCCT